TACAATAATACCATATCAAATAGAACCGAATAGAAATCCTCGACCTGCCTCCGAGGTCTGCTCGAACTATCCATTTCTTCGCACTTGCCCAACCAATCCGAGGGATGTTCGAAACAGGGGGTTAGCCTGCTCATCCCAAGGGGTGTACTAAACAAACGACCACCCAGCTCGGAGGCCTTAGTCATGGTGGAATTTGTCTTCAGGCACTTGCCGACCCCGAGGGGGCCTATCGAAACAAGCGACCACCCAGCCCGGAGGCCTTAGTCATGGTGGATTTTTTTCTTCAGACACTTGCCCACCCAATTCAAGGGATGTTCGAAACAGGGGGCCAGCCTGCCCATCCCAAGGGGTGTACTAAACAAGCGACCACCCAGCCCGAAGGCCTTAGTCACGGTGGAGTTTGTCTTCAGGCACTTGCCGACCCCGAGGGGGCCTATCGAAACAAGCGACCACCCAGCTCGGAGGCCTTAGTCATGGTGGATTTTTTTCTTCAGGTACTTGCCCACCCAATCCGAGGGATGTTCTAAACAGGAACCAACATGCCCATCCCAAGGGGTGTTCTAAAAAAGCGACCACCCAGCCCGGAGGCCTTAGTCATGGTGGATTTTTTCTTCGACCTGCCACTGAGGTCAAATAGAAACACATCGAGCAAAAAAAGATATGCTAGTAATCGATCATTTTCGTTAGTTTCACCAAACGTATAATTGTGTCGAACGAGATAAAAAAATGTTGAATTCTACCTCCCTTTCCTGGTTGTACATGATAACGTGTGCTCAAATTCTTCGACCTGCCACTAAGGTCGAAAAGGAAAACATCGAACACGACAAGATATAATAACACCCTATCCTTTTGTTAGTCATCGAAATAATAATCCAAACATGCCCATGTACCTACTATGCCATCAATTTCGCCAAAAATATTCAAACACTCATATGTGTCGATCAAACTCGACCACCAAATCAAGAGTTGAGAATAGTTTTGTACCTGACGGCCGAGAATACCCCTCCAAATCGTCTTACCTCTCCCAAAAGAGAATGATTTCTGCCTTTGAGATTGCGAACGGTAGTCGACATCCTCTATGCTCGTCCTTTTTGTTCCCGACACTCAATGGCTCGTCCGCCATAGCTTGTCGAGACTTGGGTTATTTTGTCGTTTCCTCAACAGAAATTTAAATATAGCCACACATAAATCGAATAATGTCTCCTTGAATAAATCAAACACCTCCACAAATAAATCAAATAGTACCTCCTCGAATACATCAAATACCTCCACAAATAAATCAAATATCACCTCATCGAATTAATCAAGTACCTCCACAAATAAATCAAATAGTACCTCCTTGAATTAATCAAATACATCCATAAATAAATCGCAATAATCGCTCGAGAAAATCAAATAATCTTCCACGTATAAATCAAATATTCTCATCGAATAAGTCAAATAATCATCCACAAATAAATCCAATAATCGCTCGAGCAAATCAAATAATCCTCCATGCATGAATCAAATACTATCTCCTCGAACAATCAAATATCACCTCGAATAGATCAAATAATTGCCTCAAATAAGTCAAATAATTTCCACGGATAAATCGCATAATCTCATGAATTATCAAATAATATTCCTCAAATAGATCAAATAATATCCTCGAATCAATCAACTATTTCTCAACATTAAATAATTTCCACGAATATATCAAATAATGCCTCCTTAATTTAAATCCTCGAGTTTCTAATTTTAAATGAGTGTCGTACCTTCATCACGAGAATGCGATCTCGAATTTACCTCACCATCCATATTGAATCATCCCAAAATAGCTTTGGGCTCAAAACGGGGCTGCTAGACTAAGCTGGGTCGATTTGGACCGCTTTTGTACCCTATGGACCGGTCTTGGCCCCATCTAGGGGTGTTTGGGCGCATAGTGGGTTGGGTTTTAGGCATTTGGGCCGCTGTAAACCACTATTGGGCTGCATATGGGCGGTCTGGACCAGGTGGAAGGCTGGGAGGACGCGGGTCGGAGCTTGGATTAGGCGCGGGCTGATCGCGGGCCTGGCGCGGGCTTCGCATGCTAGGGAGTGAGAGGAGTGCGGGCCGCGCGGGCTGGACGCGGTCCGCGCACTGCAGCTGCTGGACTCCTTGTTGGGCTGCTCGCAGTTTGGCTGCACTTGATTCCTTTGGGCCGCGCGCGAAATCGATAGGCTAAGGAGGGCTGCTTGGAGATGGGCTGCTCGCGGGCTGTCATGGGCTGTAGTCTGTAAGGGAAGAGGGTTGGAGCGGGCCAGACTTTGTAAGAGATTCGGGCCGCGCGGGCTGGGTGCGGCCCGCGTGAGATTCTACTCCTGCACGATGGGCTTCAGCAATTGGAGATTCATCTCGTCGAGAGATTCCGGTGGTACCCTCGGATTTTTCATAGCCCTCCCGGATCATCGGAAAAATGCGTTTGAATGTTCGATTTTGACCGAATTTTTCCTAGATCTGGAAACTTTGACCGCGAAATTGACGGCCTTCCCGAATGAATTTTGCATGGAATTTTAAGGGTAGTTTCACCTTGACGAGATGTATCCGATGATGCCAACCATTTTCCGATCGGAGCACATTTTCCGGCAGCCGGCGGCGAAGGTGGCGGCGGCCGATTGAGAAGAAGGAGGTTTTTGAATTTTTTCAGTCGGAACTCCGCTTGACTTTTTTGACGGGTCCCACAGACGGCGCCAATGAAATGAATAGATTTCACCCGGGCTCCTTCAACTCGAACGGCCTCCGCACCTGCAGAACCCAACGCCGGGGGCGGCCCCGTCGTCGGGCCTCCGATGCTTAAGTCAGTGCTCAGATCAAGAGAGAGAAAGTGTGTAGTAAAATGAATAGAGAATCAGAGAATGAGGTACCTTGGCCCCCTTTTATAGGGGGAGTGTACCTTTTGGGCCCAAGTTGGGCTTGACCCCTATTGTTGGGCTTAGATGTCTTAGTGGGCTTATCTTCCAATATGTATCCACTTTATCCATTAAACCGGGTCCAGTATAATATCATATATCACTATCGTAATGTTATCAAGCACCCGACCCACCTCGCGCACTGTGTCAAAAACTGAGAATTCCGTAGCATTAAAAATGGTTGCATTGCGACTATTCCAGATGCGCCATACAGTCACACCAAACGTCGTGCCCCAGCCCTCCACACTATCTGGTAAGGTGTTAGAAAGGTTCACCTGCAGCCCTTCGTGGAGCCCAAGTTCGAAAAACCTGCTGCGACTCGAGGCAGGAAGGAGCCTATGCCATACACGGCCAGCGTCATGGCAGTCTCGCAAAACGTGCAGGGTGGATTCCGCATCCCGACCACAAAGCGAACAGAGAGAAGAGGTTGCTAGATGTCGTCGGAATCTTTCCACATGTGTCAGCAGCCGTTCGGATGCAACTAGCCACAGGAAATGGCGAATGCGTTGGGGCCCCGCCCACCTCCCAACAGTCCTCCATAGCACCCTTTCCATAACCGGCTCCCTCACGAATAACGAAGCATAGACCGATTAAGTCGTGAACTTGCCCCTCTCAGAGCAACCCCAGTAAAGCACATCGTCACCGAGAAGCGGCTGTGGGGGTAGAACCGAAGCTATACGCAGCAACACACGGGCCGGCAATAGATGCGCGAACATGCTCCAGTCCCAGCCGCCTGACGCCGTCACAAAATTGGCCACCGGGAGGTCCCATTGGCTCGCTGGAATCGGTGTGGCAGCACTACATAAAGGCGTGGATTGGTGGAGCCACCGGTCCTGCCAGAATATTACACAACGTCCATTACCAACCGACCAGCGGGTCCCCTTAATGAGGTCAGGCCAAACCTTCTCAATGGCCCGTAATATCGTCGACCCTTTCGGAAAAATTTCTTTCATTGTAAGTCATTCTCATATGATCCCTTATATATATATATATATATAGGGATGCGCTCCGGTGAGAATAGTTCTCAACGAAAGAAATAAGAATTCATCTTGATCGTTCAATTGAGTAATCCAACGGATAGAAAAACTCAACATTTACACATTCAATTAGGACAGTAGAGTAATTCTGCCAATAACCCAATCCTCCAAACCTCCACACTTGGGTCCCAACCCACTTAACAAGTCTATCTCAATCTCTCAAACATACGGATCTCTAACTTGACCTCTCTCTCTCTCTCTCTCTCTCTCTCTCTCATCAACTCTCTCCCTCTCAACAAACACACACAGACC